ATCACTTTAATGTGGCCTCATCTACCTCTGTATGCCTCCATTGCGCGCCCCTTGACTGCTTCAGTTTTTTATTGCTCTCTCTCTCTCTCTCTCTCTCTCTCTCTCTCTCTCTCTCTCTCTCTCTCTCTCTCTCTTTCTCTCTCTCCAGGGTCTCTTGTTGCCCTCTAACTATGTAACTGAGGTTGGCTTGAGCTCCCAATTCTCTTGCCTCTACCTCCCCCTCCCAAATGCTGAGATTATCTACAGTCACGTGCTACCATGCCTGGCTCCCTGATACAATTTTAAGATGTGTGCAGATGTATATATTTCATTTATAAACATTGATGTCATTGTATATATGTGGTTTCATAATCTGCTTCCCCCCCCTATTTACCAGTTTCTCATGAATGTTTTCCCGTCAGTACAAGTATTTTTATAGGATAATGTTAACAACTGCTTTGTGTTTGTGTGTAGTGTGTGATTAGGTCCTGTGGAATGGGTGTCAAGGAGGGTTAGAGTAAGGCCTTAGGTGCTCAGGGTTACTGTCCATTATTGGTAACTGTCATCATTATGGGGACATAGCTGAACAGCATTGAAAGCAGTTTTGAAAAAGGGGAGCCTGTGATCCTGTGATTCCATTTTTGGATATCTGACAGAATGAACTGAAAGCAGGGTCTCAAATGGCTGTACACCAGTATTCATGATGGCTAGCATGGAAAAACAACCCAGTGTCCATTGACGGATGAGTGGACAAAATCTGGCTTATCCATATTATTCTATGATAAAAGGGAATGAAAATCTTAATGAAATATGCTACAGCGTGGATGAATCTTATAAATATTAGGCTAGGTGAAATATGTTACAGAAGGACCAATCTTTATGCTTCCCTTTATATGTGGTGCCTAGAACAGACAAGCTCACAGAGACAGAGAGGGACTGTGGAGAATAGGAAGTTAGTGTTTAATGGGTACAGAGTTTATACTGAGGATGATGTTAATGTTTCGGGTGTGATAGTGGTAATGTTTATACACCACTGGGTATGTGTTTAGCACCACTGAAATGTACATTGACAGATGGTTAATGATAAATATTATGTTATGTGTATTTTACCACAAGGAAAGGGAACAGATAAAACCCTTTCTCCTCTGATCCAATTGGATTCCTTTTCTCTCTGTGCCTACACTTGTACATTTTGTTCACATCATTGTGATTATTATCCAAATAATTTTATTTTATATTTGAGCTTTTTGCTTAGTGTTTATTATACCTGACCCCATAGTTAGCATGACCTTCATGTTTTTTAGTGGAGAAAGGTTTTATCATGTTGCCAGATCGTGGTTTATACAACCCCCCACCTTTCCTTTTCAGTATGTTATGCTTTGTCATAGGTATGCTTTTTTTTTTTTTTTTTTTTTTTTTTTTTTTTTTTTTTTTTTTTTAAAAAAAAAAAAAAAAAAAGAGGACGATAAATCTTTCACTGTGATATATCAAAATAGAGACAAGGTCTCACCGTGTGGCCCTGGCTGGCCTGGAACTCACTATGTAGATCAGGCTGGCCTCAAACACACAGAGATCCCTGCCTCTGTGTCTCTGTCTCTTCAGTACATCCTACTGGAGTACTAGGATTAAAGGTGTGACCACACCCACAAAAGTCTAGTCCAGACTGGCTTCAAATTCTGATCCTCCTGCCTCCGCCTTTTCAGCACATCCTACTGGTGTGTGTCCCACAACTGGCTGCATGTTTTTGAATGAATGATTAAAAAGTAACTAACATTTATTTAGACAGTCTTGCTGTGTAGCTCAGGGACCCTGAGTATGCAGTCCTCCTGCCACAGCTTACCAATAATCTTTATCAAGATGTGTATCAAAAGTACACTTACCCTCAGTAGATAGACAGATGAATTTTCACAAGTCAAGTGCATCCAAATCCCAGTTAAGAATAAGAAATTACCTCAGAGGAGTTCCTGAAAAAGTCAAAAGACCAAAGAACTGAGGGGAAACTGGTAAGTTCATCTGTGTCAGGAAGAGCCAGAATGCTTGAAAGAACCGAGTGTGTTTTGCACAACCTCAGTGTTTTCCCATTGTGAACTCAGTGGACTTTACATTGTTTTTCTTTTTCTTTCCTTTTTTTATTTTTGGACAGGTTTCACTCTGTTACCTAGGCTGGCCTTGACCTTTAGTTCTACCTTCCTCAGCCTGAGTGGTGTGTTACAGGTGTGCACCCCCATGCCTAGCCTCATTGGAGAGTTGGATAACAAAATAAGCCGGTTCTTTCGACAGATACTTTGAAATGAAGCTGGATACCATGATTAGATTTTCTTTTCTTCTTTTCCTCTGACCAGCCTGCAGTGCTGTGATCAACATCCGTGTGGTCAATGTTACTACCACTGAAATGCAGCTGGAGTGGGAGAATACAGACAGTGGTTCCGGGTACATCTACCATTTAGTTGTAGAGTCCAAGAATGACTCCATCAATACCAGCAGTTCTCAGGAAGCGATCACACTGCAGGACCTCACCCCAGGCACCTTATATAATATCACAATCTCCCCAGAAGCAAAGCAGGTCCAGGGGGACTCCAACTCCATTGCCCAGTACACACGTGAGTCTGATAGGATGCCCTTTAGTTAGGGGTGGAGGTGGGGCTTCTCCTTTCATGTGGAGGAAGCATGGTGCCCATGGGGAGAGGGTGGACTGTGCCTCTGAGCTCCAGGTTGATCTGGGAGCTGCTTAAATTGAAAATATTGGCCTCAGCAAAGGCTCTTCTGCCCTTGTGGTCCCTGTTGCCGAAGCCATGTGAACATAGATTCTCTTTGGAAGTAGAAAGTAACTCGTCTGTGAGAAGTGAGAAGGGAGAACTGCCATTCATTCCCCGGGATATGAATCAGAACAGTCCCTGTCCTGCTGGCACTGGAAAATTCTCCTCAGATGAGGAGCTCTGCCTGTGACAGCGAGGGAGATGCTTCCCTCATGTTCAAGTGGAATTTGTGGTGATGTTAGTTTATAATATGCTTTTAGTATACTTGCTGTCTTTTACCAGTCAGATTTCTGTTATCAGTTACTTTTCTATTGCAGTGATTTAAAAAAAAAAAAAAAAAAAAAGCACAACCAAGGCAATCTATAGAAGGAAGAGGTTATTGGACTTTTGGTTCCAGAGGGTTAAGAATCCATCCTTCTGGAGGGTTGGCAGGAGGTGGAGCAGAAAGCTGAGTACTTGCATCTTCAAGTGCATGCAGGAATCAGGGAGCACAAAGCTGGAAAACGGGATGAGGCCATGAACTCTGAAAGCCCAAGTGGCCAGCTTCCTCCGACAAGGCTGCACTTCCTAAAGGCTGCATGACCCTCCCCAAACAGCACTACCAACTGACCAAGTGCTCAAATACTTAGAGCCTATGGGGCACATTTTTCATTCAGGCCATCACAGATTCCAAATATAGGTTGGAAATTATATTTTCAAAGATATACATCATATAAACTTGAAGTGTTAAAAGAAGTCTGAAAAATTTTAATTCTTTTCAGATACCATCTGTATGATTTTTCTGAATGTCTTTTGGAAAATCTTCCTTCTTTTGAAGCATAAATATTATTTACTATACTTCTTGAAGGAGCCAGTCAGCTTTTGGATGTAGTAAAGTAGTTCTCTAATTCAAAGTGGCACTATTTATTCATTTATTTATTTGTTTTTAAACTAAGGGCCCAGTAGTGTATCTCACATTGAAGTACACACCAACACCACGGTGGCAACCATCCGCTGGGAGAACTCAGATGCAGCCACTCCTGTCTATTCCTACCGCCTTGTCTTGAAGACTGGAGATGCCAGCAATGCAACCACGGTGGTCACAAGCACTGGAGTCACTTCCGAGACGGTCACTGAATTAATACCTGGCTCCTCTTACACAGTGGAGATCTTTGCACAAGTTGGGAATGTTACTGAGTCACTTGTACCTGGTTTGAAGTCATTCTGTATGGGTGAGTAGTCTTAAGTACCTCTTGGCTTACTTTATTCCCTGTGTGGTGCTCACGTGCAGGTAGCCATCCTTGGCTTGTGGGTTATTAGACCTGAGGTGGACAGCTACAGGCGTGGAGCTTTCCAGGACAGCCTGGCAGCTTATTGATGTCGTAATGACATGTTGATATTGTTGCTGTGTCTGCATTCAGCACATGTGTTTTGAACACTTACTGTTAGAGAAGTTCCTGCTTTGCTGGAACTTTTATTCTGGTGAAGAAAACAGATAATAATATAAATGATCAAATTGTTAAGTCATGATTATGGAGAGGAGGAAGAAGAAACAAGGGAACAACTTCTCTAGGGTATCATTTGAGGGTGCCCTAGGAAAAGGTTCAATGGAAAGGTGACTTTGAGCAAAGGTCTGTAGGAAGCAAAGAGCTAGCCATGTGCATGAGAGTGTCAAAACTTTATGCAGAGGAGTAGCCAGCGCAAAGGCCCTGAGGCTGGAGAGAGCCTTTCTGTTGGAGAAGCTGTAGGATGTCAGGGCTGTGAGAGTGGATCTGCAGGAGCTGGACAGTGAGGGGTAAGAAGTATCCAAGCTTAGCCATTGGCCTCTGACCTTTCCTGTGAGGTGGCTAAAGTCACCTTTGCTCAGTTAGGTTCCACCCCACTGGTCTACTCGCTTCCCTTTGGTGTTTGGGTGGCTTCTGTTGTTGACCTCTTAGTTGTGATTACAACCTACAGCAAGAGGAAAGTCCCTATGAGCATTTATGGCCTGGATGTAGAGTAGCTGTAGCTGGGAGGTTACCTTTGGTGTCCCAGGGCAGGATGTCACAGCTGCAGTAGCTGCTTAGAATTTCCCCAGCTCTAGAATTCCCAGACATCAATAACAGTATTCCTGGGGCTAGGAAGATGGTTCAGATGGTAAAGTGCAGCTTGCCACGCCAGCATGAGAACCTGACCTTGAGCTCCTAGAATCCATACAATAAAACCAAGCATGATGTTGCATGCCTATAATCCCAGTGATGGTGAGACAGAGAGAGAGAGAGAGAGAGAGAGAGAGAGAGAGAGAGAGAGAGAGAGAGACAGGAGGGTCCTTGGGGCTTGCTGGCCAGCCATTGTGGCCCAGTCAGCACCAGGTTCAGTAAGAGACACTTTCTTAAAGAAGGTGGAGAAGTGATTGAGGAAGATACTGGATGTTGACCTTTGGCCTACACACATATACCCATGAACAAGTGTACACACACCCCTGCACTCCTACCACCATTCTCCATTGTATTGACATAGAGTGGGCCCATTGACATCAGTTTAATGTTGGCCCTTCAGGAAAGTTTCAATTCTCAGAGTGCTGGAGACAGATACTACACTCTGTTTTCAAGAAGGTGTGGCACCATTCATCATAGATTACTTAGATTGTGTGTGGAAAGTACCCTAAACTTGGATTAGAAAACTTGGGATCCAGTTTTCCCTTTCCTATTCACCAGCCATCATCTTCCACCAATTACTTGCCTTCACTAAGCCTCAGCTGATTTATCTGCAAATGGGCCACATAAACCTTAACTACTCCAAAAGGATTGTCATGAGGACCCCAGATGTGGTGATGCAGGTGCTGAGGTGGCTGCTACTTAGGGTACTATTTCTTGAAGTCTGCTTCTGTCCTGGTTTGGTTCTTCATTGCTGTGACAAAACACTCTGACCACTACCAACTGGGGAGGAAAGGGTTTATTTATCTTACATCTCCCAGGTCGCAGTTCATCAGGGAGCCCAAGGTAGGAACTCAGGGCAGGAACCCAGAAGCAGGAGCTGGAGCACGGGCCATGGAGGAATGCTGCTTACTGGCTTGCTCTCTTGGCCCCTGCTCAGCCTGCTTTCTTATGCAACACAGGCCCACCTGCCCAGGTGGCACCACCCACAGTGGGCTGTGCCCTCCCACATCACTCATCAAGAAGATGCCCTTCAGACATGGCCACAGGCCAGTCCAATAGAGGCAATTCGCCAACTGAGGCTCCCTCAACCCAGGTATGTCAAGTTGACACTAAAGCTATCCATCACAGTTTCTCTTCCAAAAAACTTTTTTTAAAAAAAAAAGAAGATTTAGGGCCTGGAGAGATGGCTCAGTGGTTAAAAGCACTGATTGCTCTTGCAGAGGACCTGGGTTCGTTTCCCAGTACCCACTTGGCGGCTACAAACTGTTCTTAACTCCAGTTCCAGGGGAATCTGAAGCCCTCTTCTGACTTCCGGGGCATTGCATGACACGGGTGCACTCACATACATGCAGGCAATACACTCATACACATTAAATAAAATATTAAAAAAAAGATTTAGTGTGGGGGGCTGGAGAGATGGCTCAGCATTTAAAACCACTGGTTGTTCTTGCAGAAGACCTGGGTTGGAATCCCAGCACCCATATGGCAGCTAACAACTGTCTGTAACTCCAGTCCCAGGGGATCTGATAGCTTCTTCTGTCCTCTGTGGGCATTACATGACACGGGTGCACTTACCTACATGCAGGCAATACATGCATGTACATAAAAAAAATTAAAATGTAAAAAAAAATAAAAGATTGAGTGTGTGTGTGTGTGTGTGTGTGTGTGTGTGTGTGTGTGTGTATGGGTACCTGCAGAGGCCAGAAGAGGGCATTAAATCCCCTGGAACTGGAGTTACATGTAGTTGCAAGCCACCTGACATGGTTGCTGGGAACTGAACCTGGGTCTTCTGGAAGAGCAGCAAGTGAGCCATCTCTCTAGCCTCTCCTCCAAGAATCTTGCTTGGGAAAACATGGTAATACCATGTTTCATTGAATCCTCAGACAGTCCTGCACTGAATCCCAGGTCAATTGGGTGACTGACCCAAGGTCACCCCATCTGGTTCACTCAGTTCAGGGTCAGTCTGTGCCTCTTCTCCCATACCTGTGCTGTGTTCTCCTTATACTGGGCGACAGTCCTCCTGCTCCCTGTCCACCTCACCTTGCCCTGTGCTTTGCTTTGCAGAACCAGCACCAGTGGTCGTCTTCTACTGTGAGGTGGTCCCCAAGGAGCCAGCCCTGGTTCTGAAGTGGGCCTGCCCTTTTGGCACCAACACAGGCTTCGATCTGGTGGTCAGTAGTGGTGCCTGGCAAAATGTGACACGCTTGGAGAGTTGCACCGCAGAGAACGACACTGAATGCAGAACAGAAGTCATGTATTTGAATTTTTCTACCTTGTACAACATCAGCATCACCACCTTGTCCTGTAAAAAGGCAATCCCCACCAAGAGCACCTGCACCACAAGCATCACAGGTGGGCTCCGTGGCAGGGAGCTGGCCACCTTTGGCATAGCTGGCCCAGCCACATACAAGTGTAGGCCAGGAATTCTTTTAGGGTGTTTATTTTGCCTTGAAATATTACTTTTGTCAGCACAATGCTTCCCAATTCTACAGAAATCCAGTCTAAAACTGTAGAGTAAGAGGCAAATGGTTCATGTCCTGAGTAGTTCTGTGGCCTACAGAATAGCTCATTGGCATGCTCTAGTAAATTGTCTTACTATTTCTTAAAAATAGGGATTTCCCTTATTGCATTTTAAAAAGGCATTTTTTAAAAATAGAAATGTTAAGCACACACTAAGTCCAGACAGTAGGATGAAACTCATGTCCCAGTTGGACATGTGTTAGCACTTGCCCAATCTCAGCACATTTACAGGCCCTCCTCCCTTCCCCTTACAGAAGGGATTATTTTGAAACCTGCTTTGACTGTTGCATAGTTGTATTTGTAAGTATTTCAGATATATTTCTTCTAGACAGGGACTCCCTTTTTCTTTCAAGTATAGCCATATTAATATTATCATCATACTTACGGAAGAAGACATACAAATTGTTATGTGTTCAGTCAGGACTCGTGTTCCCCTGAAATCTGCATTAACAAGCTCCTGCGTTGTTTTGGGAAACAAAAGATCACATATGCAGGGATCCCTCTGGTCAGTCCTTCATGTTTTGCATTTCCCCCTCATTGTCTTCTTCCTTTTGCACTTGGGAAGAATTGATTTCATTTTATCTATCCATTGTTCCCTTGTAAGACCAAAAGGGCCTCTTACTTTAGGAACCTGACTTGGAAAGTGGTTGAGGTATTTTATGGACGGAATCTCAGGATAGGTGGATGTGGGTTTGATTCCCCATTTTTCTACTTTACCAGCTGTGTGATCTCAGAAAACCTAACTAACCTCTCTGAGTTATGAACGGGAAATAATACTTACCTTCCAGGACTGCCATACCTCTCCTTACATATTGAAGTTGCCATGCATGGCTTCATAGGTTGTGTCTACACAATTGTAGGAGCTACCCTTCATGTACTACAGTATACTTGGGGCCCCTTGAAGCTCTGTAGTACACAATGGTCCACTGCCCTGTGGTACACCTTTGGCTTTCTGTAGCTTTCTAGAACATAGTGGGAACAAAGAACATTTCATTTCCCCTTTTGTATCTTCTCTTCTCATGGTGTTGTCTCAGTATGTAAACTACCAGAGAACAGAAGCTATGTCTGAGCCCCTGACTCCAAGGCTGAGCATAGCACTTTCAAAGCGCACAGGAGTGCTTCAGAATTCAGCACTTCTAGGCCTTGGGGCTATCGCTCAGTTGGTAGTGTGCTTGCCTAGCAGGCATGAAACCTGGGTTCATTCTGCATTGCTGTATAAGTTAGGTGTCGCAGCACATGCCTGTAATCCTAGCACTTGGGAGGTAGAGGCAGGAGAATTGAAAATTCTAGTTCATTTGTGGTTACTATAAGGAGTTTGAGGTCAGCCTGGGCTACATGAAAACAATAACAACAACAAAAAACCCCCAAACAAAAAAACCCAAAAAAACCAAAAAGAAAAAAAAATGCACCCCTGAGGCTGAACAGATGTGAACACATATCATTTTGTCCAGTGATCTCTCTCTCTCACTCTCTCTCTCTCTTTTTTTTTTTTTTTTTGGTTTTTTTGAGACAGGGTCTCCCTGTAGCCCCAGCTGTCCTGGAACTCACTATATAGACCAGGCTGGTCTTGAACTCACAGAGATCCACCTGCCTCTGCCTCCCAAGTGCTGGGATTAAAGGCATGCACCACCATGCCCGGCAATGATCTCTCTTTTTAATCTATAGCTTCCTTTCTGCAGATGAATATTATGTATAAATTTAACACAAGTTAGATTCAAAGTTGCATTTTCCCTGGGTTGTGATGTGTTATAGGGAAGGGAAGTTGGAGTGTTTGTTGCTTGCTCCCTGTATGCTGAGGGTAAGGGATGTTAAAATGGTACATAAGGTAGGCAGGGCCTGGCGTTTAGGGTTCAACTGGAGGAATGAGAAGGATGGGGTTTCCAGCATTGGCAGTGAGTCAGGTGTAATAGCTTGCTGCTGCCAGTCTGTGGTGGGATGTGTGAGACATTCTTTGACCAGCTAGACACTAGAGAGCTGATGGGAGCTGTGGGAGCATCTGTGGATTGTTGTCCTCTGGGCTTGTTGAGGATGCAAGTCTCATCACATTACTGATTTCCTTCCCTGCCTCTCACTTAGGGATTTGTTTTATATGAGCCTTGCATGCAGCTTCCTGGGTAGGGGCAGATCTTGTAGCGGACATTCAAACACATTCTCTGCCTAGTAGGTTTGTTCCTTTGGTTCTAAGTGTTGGGTGATCATGTTTTGTTCTGTTTCAGACCCACCTCCTCCAGATGGATCCCCTAATATTACATCTGTCAGTCACAATTCAGTAAAGGTCAAATTCAGTGGATTTGAAGCCAGCCATGGACCCATCAAAGCCTATGCTGTCATTCTCACCACTGGGGAAGGTGAGGCGGGGCCAGCATGGGTTAACAGTGGCTGAGTGATACTGGGACCCCGAGGCAAGTCAGTGACACCAGTACTGTGCCTCTCTACCTTGCCACCCATACTTTGGTCTTGACAGGGAAGCAATTGTTTGCCCAATGCTCCAAAGGGCTGGAGAGCAAATATCTGAAGATTTTCTGGCCTCGTGGTCTCTGTCACACATATTCTGCACTCCATGGTGCTATGAAAAGAGGTGTGGAAGATGCATGAGGAATGAGGGTGCCTAGTCCCGCTGTTTACACACAGGTGGTGGATGGATTTGGCCCACAGCCTCTAACTAGCCAACTCAGAGGATGACTTACTCTTGAATGCAAGCACAAAAGGTTGCACTTGCTAGTGAGAACCTGTGAAAGAGCGTCCTGTGGCTGAGAGGAGGGGGATCAAGGGTGGCTTTTCTGTACATGGCTGTTACCTCTCTTGCTAGTGAGAAGGGGATGATTTGAGAGGTCTTTGATAGCTTCCTGGGGGTGTTTGGTACAAGCCAGGATTTAAGACGCCAAATTTGCTGGGATTCTTTAAATTCAATATGAATAAAGTGTCTCCATTGTCCTGTCCTCTTTGAAGAAGGTGGGAACCAGTCACACTCTCAGGGGTGTGGGGATCCAAGAGGAGAGCTGTGCTGATGTCATAAACCTGTTCTAATGCTGATGAGGATGGTTAGGGAGGTAGCTCAGTTGGCAAAGTAGCTGACTTGCAAACAAGAGGACTGGAGTTTGACTCCCAGAACCCATGTTGAAAAAAAAAAAAAAAAAAAAAAAAATAGCCAGGTATGGTGACACACACTTGGAATCCCAATGCTAGGAAGGTAGAGACAGGAGTAGGATCCCTAGGCTCACTGGTTAGGCATCCTAGCCTGCATGGTGAGAGACCCAGTCTCAACAAAAAAAAAGGGGAAGGTGCCTCAGGAATGACACCTGAGGTTGTCCTCTCTCTACACACACACACACACACACACACACACACATGCATACTCATACATGTGCACCTGCATATATGTGAACACAACAAAATGTCTGTTTCTGTCCCTCTGTCCCCCTCCCCTCTTCTTCCTTCCCCTCCCGTCTCCTTCCTATCCCTATCTTTGTCCCCATTCCTGTGTCTTTTTTTAAATTTTTGAGTCTTTAAAAAATCCTTTGTCATTTTTCTGGAGTGGTTTCAATAAACCCCAAACTCAAGAGTCATGCTTAATGAAGAAGATGCTGTGTGACCAGGTTGCTTGGCACTATCCCAACTTGAGAAAGACATAAGCCCTGGACCAAGTGGTCAGGGCTAGGAATCCAGCTTCACAGTGTAGGCAGTGTAGCTTTGCAGGGCCTGCTAGATTTCTGTGCTTTGTTTTCTTGCCTGTAGAATGGGGATAACCAGCTTTTGTGAGATATCCGTGGTGAAGGATGGAGGTGATGTAAGCCAAGTATTAAGGATTCTGCCTGCTCCTGGAGGCACTTGAGAGATAGTGGTTGCTGTCATTGTCTCTCAGCATCAGGGTCATTATTTACCTGTGTGGGACACTTTTATCTCTCTCTTCTGTTACTGATGATTTGCCTTCTGTGTGCCTTTCTTAGCTGGCCACCCTTCTGCAGAGGTTTTGAAGTACACATACGAAGATTTCAAAAAGGGGACCTCAGATACTTACGTGACATACTTTATAAGTACGGAAGAGAAAGGACGCTCCTGGGGCTTGTCTGAAGTCTTGAAATATGAAATCGATGTGGGGAATGAATCCAAAACCCTTGGCTATTATAACGGGAGGCTGGAGCCTTTGGGCTCATACCGGTAATGTCTTTGTTCTTGCAGTTAGGTGCTGAGCCTCATGGTACAAGATAATGCATGTTGTCATGGTAGACACCTCAGCCACCTTATTTTCTTTTTGTCTGCCACAGGGCCTGTGTGGCTGGCTTCACCAATATTATTATTAACCCTCAAAATGATGATGGACTCATCAATGGGACTGAGAGCTATGTGTCCTTCAGTCGCTACTCAGAGGCTGTGTTTTTGCCTCAGGATCCAGGTAGGGGAAAAACCATGGCCCTGTTGCCAATACAGTGGGCTTTGTATCAAGGGTCCACATAAGCCTGCTGTCTCTCTGCCTCTCCTGGGTCCCCAGAAGGGTGGGGTTACCAGACTTTCTCCTTTCAGAAGTTGACATGTCCCTTGGCCATTGGGGTCAGCTTAGCTTCCTGCCTTGGGTCCCTGACAGGGTTGCCCCAACTCTCCCTTTCTCTAAAGCCAGTTACACTTCTAATCTGCAAAGATTATTTAGTCTTTTGCTTTCACAAGTGTTATTTGTGGGCCCATGTGCCAGCAAAAAGTGTGACTTAAAGAATCCTTGAATATTTGCATCAGAATGGACTTTTCCAGCTTCTCTCTCTTTTTTTTTTTTTGCTCTTTTTGAGACAGGGTCTCCCTGTAGCCGCAGCTGACCTAAAACTTGCTATGTAGACCAGGTTGGCCTCGAACTCATAGAGATCCGCCTGCCTCTGCCTCCTGGAGTGCCGGGATTAAAGGCGTGTGCCACCACGCCTGGCTGCTTCTCTTTTTTTTTTTTAAAGGCTGATAAGACCCAGAGAGCGGGACTTGCTCTATGTTACACAGTGGCTTGGGTGCAGACCTTTGACTCCTTGTCAAGTGCTCCTCTTGCCCAGTAGCACAGAGCTAGGTCATATGGGAGTTTCAGGGACTCAAGGTGAGGACATACCCACCTCCAGGATAGAGGCACAGCAGCTTGCTGGTTTGTTAGTTTGTTTTCCTATATGATGGTTGTTGAGTATAAGAACAAATTCTTTAGAAGCTAAGTTCAGGGAGTCCCCATTTCTCCCCACAAATGCCCCATATAAAAGGGGGGTTTCATGCTGTGTGAGTGTGGTGCTCTAGGTACCTCTGCTCATATGTAGGTGTTAAGTTTAGTTAGAGGTGACAAGAAAACCACTGATATAGTTCAGGTCCTCAAATCTGCCATTGAGGAACTGAGATCTGAAGAGGAATTGTGACATTCTCAGCACCAGCCTGCTAATAGTGGGCTGGGGACCAAGAAGCCAGCTCCTGAGAGCTGGTCTAACTTTAGGTCTAACGTGTGTGTGTGTGTGTGTGTGTCTGTCTGTCTGTCTGTCTGTCTGTCTGTCTGCCTATACCCTCCTCCCTGAAGTCTGTGGCATGGACCTCAGCTAGTCATTGGTGCAGTGTGTGGTATTCTGTGAATACCTCTTGAAATGCCTCTTGTTTGAACCTTCCCCAGGGGTCATCTGTGGAGCTGTATTCGGATGTATCTTTGGTGCCCTGGTCATTGTGGCTGTGGGAGGCTTCATCTTCTGGAGAAAGAAAAGGTGACATTGTTTACTTAGTGATCATATTCTACTTTTAAAGGAAACTTTCTATTCTGGGAAGTTGTAGCCATTTATAACATTAGAATAGTTGAAAGAGTCCCCATGTTCTTCCTATCATCACAGAACTTATCTGAATACTATTACTTCCTTTCTGACCCCAGCTAGGTGATTTGATTCTAACCCTCATCCCAGCCACCATATCACTGCTGTGCAGGATGCTACTTTAAAAAAAAAGTTTGACTTCATAAGTCAGTATCACATTAAAGTAAGAGTTTCCTATGATTGTGTTTTAGAGTTGGCCATGTGTGAACTCATGCTTCTCTTGACTAGCTGTTAGAAGCTTAGACTTCACATCCTCATCTATGGTATGGGAATAAGAGTGCCTAATTTGAGAAGCTGAGGAGCTTAACAAATGCCTCATACCCTGTTTTGTTCATTTTTATTTTCCTTGTACAACCACTCCGTGATGTAGTTAAGTAGTGAACAGAATAGCCCCATTTTGGGTGCTGCCTGTGTACCCTAGCTTTATCCTATTCCTGAAGCTCTTAGATGCTGGTCTTAAAGGTTGCAGAAGCTGAGTGTTGGAAGTATGAGGAAGGAACTTGAACTTGGCCTTTGCACTTACTCCTTGTCTGACTGTGGGAAGCCTGATGTCTATTGGGATTCACTTGCTGCCAGGTGCTCTGGGTTGAAATTTCCATCTGGGCCCAGGCTTAGTACAAAAGCTGGAACCTGAGTACCGTCATTCAAGTCAGTAGGGTGAGACAGCAGTATGAGGAGCCTGGCATGGGCACTGGAAAGCCTGCAGGAAGAGGAGTTCAAGGTCAGCCTGAGCAACACAGTGGGACCTGTCTCAAAACAACAAGAACAAATAAGCCAGCAGTTTATTTATACAAAACAAACCCACAACTGCAAAAAAAACCAAGAAGAGCAAAGCGAGAAACCACAGTTACAGCACACACAAGACTACTCTTAACATGTTCATGTAATTATAAAGCCCACACACATGTGGAATCCTACTATACATGTTGGTGTCTGCCCTGCTGGATTCACTGACGGTCTGGTGGATAGCCTCGTTTTGTCATTGTAGGTGGCCACAGAGTACTTACCTGTAGGGAGTAACATCTTTTAGTTAACTGTTTTGCTACATATTTTCATTACTTTTGGCCACAGTTACATGTCCATTGGGCATGTTCATGATTACTTCCTTAGGCCAAATTCCAAGTAGGTCAGTGTACGTGTATATTTTCTGTTTGATACATGCTGCCAGGTCGTCTTCTAGCCTTCCAGGCAGTGTGTTACAGACAGAGCAGGAGAGTGCTGGTACTCACGGTGGCCCCGTCAGGCCCCATCCCCTTTATGGGCTTAACTTCCCAGGAAAGCTTTCTCAAAAGCAGAATGTGAAATGAGCCTTGCTTTACAGTAAGAATGTACAGACACACACTCAAATTCCTAAAACTTATTTGAATAAGATTTTCCATACTTTTCAATAATAAGAAAGAAAATAATTTTACAGAGTTTAGTTGACAGTTCTTGCTTGGACTGGCTTAGTATTAGTGAGCTGGCTTAGTGTCCAGCATGAACCACTGCTTGGGAAGAAACTGAAAGTGGCACAGCAGGATGCAGCTTTGTCTGATGGATCTTCTCTTTTTTAACTATAGGAAAGATGCTAAGAACAATGAAGTGTCCTTTTCTCAAATCAAGTAAGTCTCTGAGTTATAAACTTATTTTAAGATGCTTAGTCCCTAGACTGTTCAGTGACTATAGCATTTTTTGTTAGAACTAGCTTTCATTTTTCATGATTGACACATTGGCCACATCATCTGGAAGTTCTTGCTGTTTTCTGTAAGGGGTCTTTGTTTTGCTGGTCTCCTGAAGTCTCCCTTTCTGTTCTTCAGTTTTACCAATAAATAGTTGTTTGTGTGTGTGTGTGTGTGTGTGTGTGTGTGTGTGTGTGTGTGTGCTCAAATGTGCGTGTTCATGTAGAAGTCAGCGAATGGCCTTGGGTGTCATTCCTAAAAAGCCATCCACCTTTCTTTGAGACAGGGTCTAGCCTGGAGCTCACTGAGTAGGTTAGACTGGCTAGCTAGCAAGTCCTGGGGATCTGCCTGTCTCTGCCTCCCAGTCCTGTGATTATAATACCACTATACCCCTGGGTCCTGGGGATCGAATTAAGGTCCTCATGCTTGCATAGCAAGCTGTTTACTGACAGCCGTTCCCCCAGCTCTCCCTAGTTTTGGAC